AGCAGCTGCCAAAGCAATTTGCGACGTTGAAGGTGAAGGTACGGTGGCACCGCGAACTGCACAGAAATGGTTCAAGCGTTTCAAAAATCAATAAATTTTCATAATAGCCACAAAACCAGATCAAAAAACACAAAAAAAAATATATAAAAAATCATTATTTTAACACGGCGCACGAACTTTTTCCCCAACCTAATATTAAATTTTGTAAATGAAATTATTTTTTATCGTAGCTGAAATTTCTCTTTTCTTTATAATAAATCATATTTATGTTTACCAATGTTTTTCCCATTTTTGTTTGTCCTGAAATTAGATTATTTTCCCATTCTTTAATGGCTGTTAACCAACTAAAGTAGTCCTCATTTGAATGTGAACTAATTAAAGAATGAGTCGGTCGTTGAGATGTGAAAAACTATGAATAAAAAAAGAGTTAAACATATGAAAGGTGACTATCATTATCACTTTTTACTTCCTCATTTGTTCTTCCAAAATGTTTAATAAACGTAAATAATTTTAATCTTCGTTGTTTAATAATAATAGCTTTGGATAAATCATAGAGAATAATTATGAGATAACCGCCGAATAATGTAAATAAAGATGAAAATAAAAATGTTGTCCACATTCGTTCACCATGACACGATGGATCAAGACTCTTAGATTCAGCATCTACCAATCTGGTCGAATTGTTCTCCTCAGATCCAGGACAATTACCCATCTGAAAATAAATAAATTTCTTTCCATGTAAATCTGTAAATTAGTTGCATGCTACTGTTAAAAGCAACACATTCTCATCAATAGACACAGTGCTTACGGCTATATTCAATAGTCAGTGCTCTTTGTTAAATGAAAAGATATGCTTGTCTAATGGTTTCTCGTCACGATTCCGAAATTTTTCTAGAAAAAATTGAAAATATTTTTCTTTAGAAGAGAAATTTCACTCTGATACTATGTACTCGCTATTGTTTGTTCACTTTATTTACCAAGTGTTAATCTGTCCTTGAACCTCCCCTCATACAAAACAAATTTTTATATGGTACTGATGTGAACTGAATTTTTCGGCAACAGTGCAGAATAAAAAAATTGCTTCGTTGTGCATTGTGTTGAGACCGAAAAGTATTTCAGCTCGCACAAATGCGGAATCACCCATTGTTTGAATTATAGATTTCGTACGCAACTGAGTAGTATTTTGAAGAAGAGTCTTTCAATTTCTCATATTCATACATAAAATGTTTGAAATAACGCCTAGACAAATTTAATATCTTCGTGTCATGAGAACCTCTTGTTACTCTTAAAAAATTTATTGGAACCATCAAATATGACACTATCTACGCCACATGGTCAAGATAAGATACAATGACGATCTATCATGACTATTCATTGTATCTTATCTTTGAATGAAAATATGTAACATTTGTCTCAAATTTCGATGAAACTTCACCAATATCTAGCTGTACTCAAGTTGAAATTAATCCTAAAATTTCAGCCTGAACTAAAATATTAAATAATTAGAATCGAACAAAATTTAATTTCCTTTTTCGATATTTTGGATTTATGTGTATATAACCCGGTATAATACAGATATCTAATGGAAATATTTTAAATAAAACGATGATAGTTTAATAGTTAGTATTACATTGAACTTAAATTTGAACTTTTAGAGCTTTTTGACATATTTCTAATAAAAATAATTGTAGAGTCTCTTGTTCATTTTATTTCAATGGTGATTTTGTCATTTTAGGATCGATTCATTGTATCTTATCTTGACTACAGAGACAGTGTAAAATGATCAGTCATTGCAGGTTAACCTTGGATGCATTTTAATGAATCGATCAACCAGGGCTTATATTAATATAATATAATATTTGGATTTGGATTTGGATTTAAATAACGATGCTCATTATGATGGTGGTTGCTATGATTATGAAATTTGACGCTGGATCGATAGGTATTATCGAGTTTCTGTTCATGAATATTTGAATCCACACCCACTAAAATACGACGTAATTCTTCTAATGATGTATTAGGATTGATTCGACTTAATACAAACATCTTAAAATTTCCCGATAAACTATCTACAATATCATTAACCATTGTCGCTTCTTCAACATTTTCACCGAATACAACGCGTAATAATCTACATTCATCAAAATAATAATCATTCACAGATTCATTGTTTGTAAATGTACGATATTTTAGATCACGTAATGACCTTATTTGATAGTTAGCTGGTCTAAATGCTTGCTTTAACATTTCTTTCCATTCTCTTCATGTTCCTAATGTTGACCTTTTTGTTTCACCAAGTGTCGTATAGTGCTACTAGTGAACAGACCCGTCTGACAGTCTGCATACAGCGCTTCTTTTTCTCAGAATTTTTGGCATGTCAGCTATCTTGAATTTCTATTCATCAGCGTACAAAACGAATACAACAGTTCTACGTAGCAACGAGCGCTTTTATAGTACTGCGTGGTGAATGAAAAAAAAATCAAAAAAGTCAAAAAATCCCTTCAAATATTTCTAAGGATATTGATAGCAGTCGCTGTCAATATATCTTACCGGATTGAACCCTACTCCGTCTCTAAATGATCAACTCCGAAACTAGTTGAGGCACTAAAAGTTTTCTGAAGATACGTGGAATCAACTGCACTAAATTCACTTATACCAATTTTAGCGGTTTTCCGACTTTTCCTCTGCAGCACAGTGCGCCTTCCTTTGGTCGGCGTTCGCAATCGGGTTAGCAGAATAATCTGGTGAACTCGTCTAATGTGACATAAAAAGTTCATAATCTGATATAAACTGAAAAGTTTCATCGGAAGTCATACCCACGACTGATTTCCCATCCAAAGCCTACAGAATGCTGAGGGTACTCGTAACGGATTTCTCGAGACAAGCTGGTACTCATGGGACTAAAACCTTTTCTTCTGAGTCTCGAGGCTAGATTATTATTACGCTGCAAGTTTTGTACGTCAAACACGTTTTCCACTAGTACTAACACGTTGTGCCGTAGATGAGCAACAACTGTTGTAAAATTAAAACCAAATCAGTGACAGGTTTCTCCTTCCGTCTTTCTTTAACTCTTCTACTCTGCTTTATAGTGATTTTCCTCTATTCTTTTTCCTACATCTGGGGGGGGGGGGGGGGGGGGGGCCCCCCCAAAATTTAAAAAAACAAGAAACAGGGAAAAAACGGAAAAAATTAAAAAAAAACAGAGTTAACCACAGTGGGAGGGA